GTCCCAAAAGTGATTAAGGCATTTGTGCCAAAAGTTGGGTTAATTGGAAGTGGTGAACCCCTCCCCGAATTTATCCCAAAAAAAAAGCCCCCCCCATGGGTGAATGCATTGTGAATAAGGGCAGAAAATGCACGTGAATGTACGAGTTCGCCACCTATGTTGTTTAATTATTTTTAAGGTAAACTAGGAAAAAACCCTAAGTGAACCTCCAATTTAATTAACCTAATTACTAGATTAATTATCCCAATTTATAGGCATGGTCCCTAGCGAACCCGAGGTGGATCCCGGAAGACTAATGTGCAATGCTGATGAACTAACCGATGAATAAAATGCTTTGCAAGGGTGAAATGAAGTAATTTTTGGACTAAATTGAAATGTTTATGTGAATTTCAAACTTGCCGCTCGGAGTGGTTAAATACCTAAACGGTGCCTACATACTATCCGTATTGAATGGAAAGATCAAAAGTCAAACGTAAGTTTTTGATAGGCCTCTTTTAGAAGGGCTTTGAATGGGGATGCTTTAATGCAATGAGTGTGTGTAATGCTTTTTGTGCATTTTGTTTAGGCATTTTGCCAAAAGAGTTGATTGATTTGAATTTAGGCATTTGATGCCAAAAATTGTTGGATTTAAGGCTTTTTAGCCAAAAGTTATGATTTAAGGCAAATTGTTTGCCAAAAAGTTGATGTGATTTAGAGCGATTGTCGCCAATTGAATTGAATTTTAAGGCTTTTAGCCAAAAAATGAGATTGATTTAGGCCAATTTGTTTTGCCAAAAGTGTTGATTGGGCGATTTGTCGCCAAAAAAATTTGAATTGATTTTAAGGAATTTTAGGCCAAGAATGAAGTTTTGATTTAGGGCAATTTGTTTCCAAAAAAAAGTGTTGATTGGGGCGATTGTCGCCAAAATTTGATTGAATTTTAAGGCTTTTAGCCAAAAAGTGAGTTTGAATTTAAAATTGGTAGGCCAATTTTTGTTGCAAAAACGGTGATTGATTAGGCTTTTTAGCCACAATTATTGATTAATTTGGACCTTAAGCCGGACTAATTCGAAATAAAAGGCAATTAAAGCCGTAGTTAATTAATTAAGTAGGTTTTTTAGCTAATATTGTCCGGATTTTAGGCTCATAATACCACGAAATTAATTAGTTTTAACCGGGCATCTAAGCTTAATTACATATTTTAATTGAGACCAGTTTATTTGCGAATTGAATGAACGTGGATGCAATTTATGCCAGTTGTAGAGTTATTAGGAGTAGAGAAGAGAAATGTGCATGAAATGCTAACATATTAATGAGCAGAGTTTCGTTTAATGTAACCTCTGATTTAA